AGGTCTCCAGTGCTGTGGGCTTTTGGAAAAGTTGTTGCCAAAAAGCAGCAGCCGAATATAACTTATTAAGTTTATGTTTGAAGTTACTTCTTTATTATATAAGCTTTTTTTTTTCTTTTTTATTTTAAAGAAAGGAACTTTGTGATTCTGTGATTTATACCACAAAATATTTTGAATCTGTCCTAATTTATCTTTATGCTTTGCTGGAGGTATAGGCTTGATCATTTATGTCCCATCTGTGTTAGACTGTGTGTTAAGAAGCCTCAGTTTCAGTTTCTATACTTCTAAAATTCACTAGAACAGCATTAGCTAAATTTTGTAGACATGTCCAATTACTTTTGTTCTATTGGTCGAACTTCAGGATCAGATGTTTATTTTAGCACAGAAATTTAGCTTTTCCAAGGTTTTGCAGTCTGTAATGTTTAAAAACATGAAGTGACTAATCCAAAGAGAGTTTAAGGATATTTTCTTGTAAGCATAGTGCCTTGAGATGAGTTATTCTGTTTCCTTCCCATCTCCTGTCACTTCTTTAAGTACTTTCTTTTCAGAAAGCAGTGGAAACTGGCAAATCTCTGTTCTCCTTCTTAAAGACTTCTCTTAAAGTGTTCTTGAAAAGCAGTAAAGGAAGTTGGAATGATGGATGTGAATGCATCAAGAGTTAATAGCTATTGTTTCATTGTTAGAAATTATTTTTGGCTATCACCATCCTACATATAAGAACATGCATGGCCAGAGAATTGTGGTTATAAGTAAGTAATCTTAGTGTTAGCACAGTTCTTAAATTCTGTAATTTCATCTGGAAATAAATTTCAACTTGTACGGAATGTTATATTCCCTTTAACTGGAATGTTATATTCCCTTTAATATTTTCTTTACTATTTTGTTTCTCTTGCGAATTAGGTTCAAGTAGATATTCCAGTTGCCTCTTCAAGTTTAATTGAAGACAAGTCAATAGTCACAGCAGCCATTGCACTGGATGATGCTGAGATACAGAGAACAAAAGAATTAAAGAATGACCTGCAACAGACTATTGTGAGCTTAGAAATTAAACCTGGCACTGCTGAAGAAGAAAAAAATATCATTAAGAAGGTATAACTACTTTTCTCATAGAAAAATATTTGATATTTGCACAGAATTTAAATATATCAGGATTCATCAGTTATATTCATGGCTAATTTCTATAAAAACATGGAAAATTTCAAAAGTTTAAAGAAAAAACAGCTAAAATTAGCCAAAATATATATATTTTTTCAGTTCGGTGTCTGTTTCAGGCTGCATTTTTCTATTGTTTCGTTAAAAATGATTTGGCCTACTTTGAAAAAAAAATGGGGAGAAAGGGGGAGGTTGAAGAGAGAGACAAATTTTCTTTAGCATACAGCTGTGTGGTTAGAAGATGTAGAAGTGGTTCTCCCATGCTTTTAAAGCAAATGTGTTTCCTGAAGTAGAAGGTGCCTTCGTACAGTAGGGTAGCTGACAGGGCTTTGTAATTATGTGACTGAATTTGTCACTGAGGGCCCTGGAGAATAAGAGAAAGAAAAAGCTTTATTTCTTGTATTTTTAATGCTGTTATTCCTGATAGCTGTCAGGATGTGCTCATGAAGAAGGAGTTGGCTTGTTAGAAATGCAAATGAGGGTGATTGGTTACAGCGAAGGATAGAGAAAAGTCTGTGGTGGATCAGTATGAGTGAAGAGTATAGAGGCAAGATGTAAGAATGTGCACAGACCAAGAGGAGATTAAGAGCTAGGCTGAGTGAAGAATGGTTACAAAATATGTGTCTGTCTTTACAAATGAATCCAAGGATTTGAGTCTCAGGAACTAGCTTTAATATTTCTTCAAAGAGTAGGGTTGAATTAAGCAGACCTATTCCTTCTGTCCTCCCTATGACCCCTTCAGTTGTGCCTCTGTTGAATAGGTGTACAGCGAACCAGCAGGTCAGCTCATTCTAAACTCTCTGTGCAGAGATAATTGCCAGTGTCTTATGTATAGTAGGAATGAGTTTGGTAGGGGCAACAGCCACTTAAAAATTAACAAAAGGTCTCTAGTTCTGTGGATAGCATTTTTTTTTTTTAAATCAAATAGTGTAGTGGAAGAACTAGGTTGACTGTTAGTGAATAGCCAAATGACTGCTGAGTATTTCAATGTTCTAGTCATTATTGGACTGTATAGGAAATCATTAGGCCTGTAGGAATTATTAATTTGTAATTCTAGTTATATATTTTTAAAAGAGTTTAATATGTTCTTAAAACATAGAATGACAAAACAAGCCATTAAAAATACAGAAATATTTTATTTACCTGAGTTTGTACATCTTGAACATCTCTCAATCTAAAAAGTACAATCAGCATTTTGTAGCAATACCCTTCATCTCTGCTCAAGATAAAGAGAGAGAGAGAAGGCACTATAAATAGTTCAGCTCTATTGTATATTTATATTGGGATGACACCCTGGGTGTAGGGTGACCCCAGGGTACAGAGGCTGTGAGGAGGAGGGGCAAGGGGGATGTGGGGATGTTTTTCTTTTTTTACTTTTTTTTTTTTTTTTTGTAATGGACTGAATTTATTGTAAACAGTTGTCAAACATGGTAATTTTTTTGCTTCTTTCTTTGGTTTGGAAAGGTGTCAGAAATGAAACTAGATTGAATGATTCACAGAACTTGTGTTTTTGCAGTTCAGACAGGTTTAACTTCCTGTATTTTATTTTGTAATCCTAACAGGAATTAGAATATTTATTGGAGAAATATAGTAATCTAGAAGTGGGTTTCTTGAAGGGAAAAAAAGAAAAAGTCATTTCACATCAAGACGATTACAAAATGCTTCAGGTAATATTGTTTCTTTTTCAGTGTCTTATTGTTTCAGCGTTTATCTGTGTATTACCTTGCTCAAACAAAGAAATGTTTGCTAGCTATATTGTAAAAACGAATTTTGCTTAAAAGCCTTCAGATATATGAAGGGTAGCCCACTATTGGTGGGCTAAAGTGATCACCTCGTAAAGTCCATCCAATAGTACTATTGATGTTATTTTTTAATATTTTCGTGATGCTATTTAAGCAGAAGCTTTTAGGTAGTGGGAACATATATGAGTTTTGCAAGTTTTTGACTATATTGTACCTTTTTGAGGTACAGATTCAACAGTTTTCAAGCATGCCAGATTAAAGGATATAATCTTTATTTTGTAGAAAGATTCAAGTAGTTCGGCTTGTAGTCTTCTGTGTATAATCAGAATCAAATCAGAAGTAAGTTGCGCTAACAATTAAAATTACTTTATTATAACTTTATTGAACTGCAATTGTTACTGGAGCTTTTAATGCCTATTTCATTTGTATTTCCTCTTTGATTTTCCTGTTTGGCTTCTAAGCATGAAGGTCAGCCCCTTTGGCCACACAATGGGTAAATTTGGCAGCTGCCGAGTACAGGGGTCTAGATCTTTTCCCAGCAGAAACAGATGGCTATTTGCTGTTAAACTGAGAAGAGTAAAAGCAGACTGTGCCTGGTGACTCTGGATTAACTTTGGGAATTCTTATGTTAAGACTTTCAACAGAACTCATTGTGACTTCCCAAGCACTAGTTTTGCATTGCGTTAATTCTTGTTAAAAGAAATTCTATTTATTCTAATGTTTGAGTTAATATAGAAAACAAATGTCTCATGAGATAGGTCTGTTGGGCTTTTTAGGTGAACATGTATTATTTTACATGCCTTAATTAATAGGCTCCTGACATTTGTGGCATTCTCAAAAGCTGGTTTTGGAGGTAATAGATCCAAAGACCCAGCCAAATCCTCGAAAAGGATAATATTTAGGTAAACAGACCTTTTCTTTTTTATGAAGTTATTGTGCTCAGTTTGACTTTGTCAGCTAAGCCAGTTTTCCTGAACTTTAAATGCTCTGTGACTTATCGGGTACTGGAAAGTGTTCTGACCAATTTAAATTGGTGATTATATAGACCATTTTACCTTGTTAGTCTTGACTTTTAAATATTTCATAGTAATCCATCTCTTTTTCCAGGGCTTCTTTCAATAGATCATTTCCATGCAAACTGTTTTATCAGCACAACAGAGGCTGACTTTGACAGTACGGCATAACACTTAAAGTGATATAAACCTTACTGTTGTTGGAACGTATCTTACTGCTTTCTCCTAGCCATGTGTTTCTGAACACTTTCTTGTAAATAAAATAATCTTCTGTCAGATTAGCAGTCTGACTGAAGGCTTTGCAGGTCAGTAATGTTCGAAGTCACATGTTCTTAAGACTTTTCTGCACTTTTGTGGATTTTTTTGCTGTGTTTCTTGGTAAAGAATAGAAAGTATCAAAATGTAAATAAAAAAATAAGAATTTTAAAATAGATAACAAAATTGGGGAATAGAGAGTTAATATTTTTTTTTATTAGAAACAATTTTATTACTTCGTTCTCTGAAACATTTCTTGTTGGATAGATATTAAAAGCTAAAAGCTCCTTTGTTTTGTTGTTGTCATCTGATTTGTTCTTATAAATGTGACAGTTCAGAACTTTCATATAGCTATCTATGTGACTGTAAAACAACTGGATTGTTTGTATGAGAAGATACAACTAGATTATTTTCAGCAAGTTTTTGTATTCCAGGTGTTTTTTTTTTAATTACCTTGAAAATATATATGTAAGAATATAAGATCTGCTGCTAGAAACAAAGTGCTGGTTGAACGAATAAACCACAGATTCCTTGTTCAATTGGCAGCAATGAAAAGCAGAAAAGTGTAAATGAGACTTAATCTCATTATATTTAATTTTTAATAGCATTACTACTTTTGAATTGAATAATTTCTTAATTTTTATCACTCATATTCCTTTTTCTGAGGCAGGTTTTCTGTTTTCCAAATTTAGGAGTAGTACTCTGGCTTCCTAATAATCCATTTCTGATTTTCTTTAGTAAATAATATGCCCAAGGCTTCCATCAGATAGTAGGCAGATTTTTTTTTTTACTGTCCAAAGGAAGTGGTTACTCTTCTTTTCCTGATATTTTCTTCCTCAAGCAAGAGTGACAACTCTGTTAGCTCAGGGGTTATTTTTGTTTGCTTGTTTTGTTTTGATTTTATTGTTGTTTTTCTGCAAAAATGCCTCAGTTAATACTACAAATGGAAGAATTGAAGGGAAGGGGCTGGTAATCAGTAATTCCGATCACTGGTACCAGAATTCAGACTCTGTTTTATTGAGTTAATACATGGCAATGCAGTGCTGTCACATTTATTCTTTTAAAAAGTTCTGTGTTTCATTTAGATAAAATTAATGTTAAGAAAAAGAAGTTTAAGCAGAACTTGTAGTATTTTTGTGTTCTTAGCATTGTTTCTATATGTTATTACCATGACCAGAGACAGTAAAGGGGCAGCAGCAGGTTCATAAATGAAATAAATTAGTAAAGTCATTGGAATGTTTGATGAAGTTGTCCTTTTGAGATCTTTTATGCATGCAGATGGGTAGAATATGAGTTTTGATTCCCACTTTGATATTTGTAGTATTTTAAGAGGCAGAAAAAATACTGTAACATCTTTGCATACAAAATGTAACTGAGCTAAAATTGCTATGGGAAGTGTAACTTTTAATTTTTTCAATTGTGTTCATTGTTGAAAACAAAATTGCACAAACACAGCTTTAGCCTCATAATTCTATTCATTTGGAATGTAAGGCTGCAGATGCAAATATGTCTTTTTGCAGTCAAATGGCCACCGACAGAACTAGAGGAAATGGCCACAAACTGAAGCACCAAAAGTTCCACGTGAACTTAAGGAAATAGATGCATATATATTCACTTTAACTTTTAAAACTCTTTTTTTTTAAAAAAAATGCCTGGGTTCTAGCACCCTGCATTGGATCCTATTTTTTTCAATAAGATATTTATCTAATAAAAAATTCCGATGTTTATTCTATCAGCAGACAACTGCATTTCATGATTCACTATGAATTCAACAATTGTTTTCCCCTGTCATTTCTTTGGTTTACCACATAGTTATATTTGATCTTGTACTGCATTACTATCTGAAAATTCTGGAAATTTTACACATTTTTGCTGTCATTAACCTTTTCTAGGAGTGAAGGGTGTTCTTTTTTCCATAAAACTGTATAATCATTTTGCTGCAATCTTTTTCTTTTGGCAGCTGATACCTTTTGTTCTAAGTGGCAAAATAGTGGTAAACAAAGTTCTTGTTCAAAATCCTATGTTTCTGTTGCTCCCTTTTATATAGGGAGCGTCTTTGTTGTTTTTGAAAAATGACTTTGTGCTTATTTAACAATATTCAAATTGATGCAAAAAGTTGTGATTAAAAATAAATGTTTTGTACAATGATTTCATTTTGGAAAGGAAGCTTGTACTATAGGAAACGTTCATAGATCAGTACATAATGGTGCTGAAAATTTTCTTAGAAATGCCAGCAGCTTATGTTGTGGCACCTAATGAGATTAAACCTCATAACAATTTAAGCACAATTACTGCTATCAATAATTTTATCTATCTGTTGTAGTGACTGTTGTTGTTTGGGGATCTTTTTACTGGTTAACTGTTAAAAGTGTCATTCAAATTGTGAAGTTTCTATTAAGGGTGCTTAAGTAAAGGTAGGTTAGGGTAAATTTAAGATTTTGGGGTGCATGTTCATCCCTTATAATTCCGAGTACTGTTTTGTGAGTTTAAATTTTTTTTCTGATGAAAATTCCCAGAAAATTTTGTTTTCTTTTTATATTGCACATATATATCACATGCATTCATACAAAATGCGTACTTGATCACATCTCTTGGATTTGGAAATGACGTTTCCAAACCTTAAAGCATTCTTGGTATGGAATACAAAAATGAAAATTTTCTGTAATGTTAGAATGATCATACAATGTTGTTCAAGTAGAATTGTGCAAACATGGAATTTCATGACCTCATAGTTTACGTGAGTGCTTAATATGAATCTTAGTAGCATCCAATACACATAAATTTGCCTGTGTTCATAGAGGAACAGTTCTTGTCATCTGCCAGTTTATTATTTTCCATTATATTTGGGAAAATATGGAATAGCATTTAACCAATACTGAAATCAGAAAATAAAATATCCACAAATGGAGTAAGGTATTCACCCAAGTATATAGTGACCAGAGCTTATGAATGAACAATGATCAAAATTAGACAGAATTTGGAAGAATAGGTCTTGAAAGGAATGCTCTACTGGTGGACCTAAGCATCAAAAAATTTGCCTATTGTGATTATTTGAAACAGCATTAGGAATCATATTTTCCTTCAAACTATAGTTCAATTATAAAAATAATTTCATATTATTCTAGCAGGTTATTTCCATATTACTGTTGACTGATGGATTGGCTTCTGGCCAAAAGATGAACAAATCTGTGGTCTTGGTACCTAAAAGGAAATAATTAATGCTTTGCTGAGTTTCCCCGCCCCCCCCTTTTATATCTTGTAAGGGAAAAGTTGTTGTTGTTGTAAAACAACAAACGACCTATAGCTGTAGCCTGTTTTATTATTTTTTAAGTATTATTTTTAATTTTAATTATTTTTTAAGTACCTTCGGTTCAGATTTGGGAAGGAGAGTTGAAAATAAGGACTGAACCCTACTGAATATATTTCAGCCATAACAGAGCTGGTTAATTAACTTTCCTCTTACCAAGAAGTTGGAATATGAAACACAGTTCCTCCTCTTCAACCAGCACTGGAGATGTAGGAATGACTGACATATCTAGATCATACAAACAGGAAAAATATTTTCTGTCTTTCCTGTTTGTATTCCTGAACTGCTGAAGTAGGCCTAGCAAAACCACTAGTGTGCTTGCATGCTAGCTGAGCAACTTCAATTTTACG